CTAATAGTTGCATTTGTTAGGCTTGTTAGAAATTAAACTAGCTAGTTAGGAAATTAAATTTTTTTTTAATTTTAAGTTCTTTCCTTATATATAAATTTTTATATTAATATTATTTCTGAATTAGTTTTTAATATTGTGATTAGTCATTGTTAAAAAGACATAAAGGGAGAAATTTTAAAAAATATATTTTAAAAAAATAAATACAATCTATGGGAGCGCTCTTTAAATGAGCGCTCCTGTAGAATAGACATACGGGAGCGCTCATTTCAAGAGTGCTATCGTATGTGCATCTAAAAATGTATTTTATTCTTTATATATACAAGTATTTTTTGAAAAGCACTCCTGTATCGCATATATATAGGAGCGCTCTATATATTCTAAAGCATTTGATATGTGAAGATCTCTTTAAGACAAAAAAAAAAAGTACTCCTATAAGCTTATTTTGTAATAGTGTACATCACAACTGTATCATCACATTCTATTGCAATGCCTTTTGTCAATCATGCTAAGTTCGTGAGTTTGTCCCTAACATGGCACTCAAGTTTTCCTACAACTTGTTAAAAAACAAACAAACAAACAAACAAATTTTTGCTTTCAGTAGTTTACTATAAAATATGATTTGGTTTTTGGAAGTTTTTTTTTATGAGAAAGATCAGAGATTACAGCAGGAGGAGGAAGTTGGTGATGGTTTCATTTGAAAGGGATATTTTAGTATGTTAACATAATTATTATATTTATACAATAAGAAGTGTATAATCTTTACACCATCATATCAAACATACTTTTTAATCACAACCCCATTTTCATTCCCATTGGCATTTGCATTCTCATTTTTATTCTATTCCATAAAAAATTATTCCATTGTGCCAAAGAGATCCTAAGTTCTAACTATATTGCTGGGAAAAAAAAAAGGTATAGTGATACTAATTATATGCGAAACTTTCCATGATAGTGGATTTAATGCTCATACAAGATATGAACATGGATTAGGAACCAGATGAGGACTTCATCACTTCTAGGTCGTTTATATTTAATTTTCATTGTCTAAATTTATAGTTTTTCAATGGGGTTTTGCAAATTTTTTTCTTGAAAACTGACAATTAAGGCATTGTTTTTATTTTAAACTATGTATTCATTAAAATAATTTTTAAGAAAATAAAAATAAAAGGCTGTAAACCTGGACTATCCATATTAGATCTAAATAATTCAGAGGCAATGAACTCTCAGTGTTCATTTATATTATGAGTACTAAAACAAGCTCCGCATGAATTAGTCAACTTGAATTTAAATTGTTAAAATTAAATGCTTCCTATTTTCTTGTATTTATTCTTACATTTTAATATGAATAAATTATCAAATATTTTTCTAACGATCAATTTTTTTAAACGAAGCTTTAACTAAATGGTTAAAATAAAAAATTGAATCAAAATCGTTCGAATTAGATTTAGACAATGCAAATCTCATTTTGAGGATGAGCAAATGGACGGGTAAGGAATTTGGGCCCCAGAGCCAGACAATGCGGTTAAGCTATTAAAATGAAGAATTTGTTGAAAGGTTGATGAAGGCTGGTAGTTTCCTTGCCTTCTTCTGTTTTATATATATATATATATATATATATATAAAGTGACGTCAAAAATTAAATCTCTTTACGATAACCGTCTCAATCCAAAAATAATCATAAATGAAAATTACATCTATAACCTTGGCAAAATATAGTTTTAATTGTAGCGAATATGAATGAAAAAGAAATTTCAAAAAGTGGTGATTTGTTTAAATAAAAAAATATGATTTAAAAAAATTGGAAAAACTTATGTTATGAATTATGAACATTTAAATGTAAACTGGAGTCAAATGATGATGATAGAGTTTGAGTTAAAGTACGCAACACTCAATTTATGTTATGTAATGGAATAATGAAAATGTCATTTTTCCATGTGGGATGTACTATTCACTATACAGTAAGTGAAGTACAACTCATGGATCGATCAGTGAGAAGACAAACTTGGTAGAGATCCTTTTAGCATCCAACAAATATTCCTCTTTTTATCATAAAAAGATGCTTTTCCTTTTCCTTTTTGAGGTTCCTGATTCATGGAAGAGAACACTACTCGAATTCATTGCATCACCCCCCAAATCCAACTCCAGCTCTCATGTAATGTTGCAATAAATCTGCCAACTTTTACACACTGATATTGTGTTCCTCCCATGCCGGCCTGATGACCATGATGAGAGGCACAAGGCAATTCTCACTACCTCATTGAAATTAAAAGACATATTTAAATCATTAAACTAGTTTTAAAATCTTGCTAAAGTTGCAAATAAGAGTGGTTTAAAAATAAACTCTTTAACGCTCTACTCTTTTTCCCCCAAAATTTTACCTCTTTAACTTAGCTCTTCTCCGTAGAAAATGAAAACATTGTCCCTAAAATAACTAGCCCTTGATTAATGCTCTACTTTTTTTAAAAAAAATAACATGATTAATATATAAGATAAAAAAAAAGTATATCACATGCTAAAATTTAAAGTCGAATTGCAAGAGTGTCTGTTATATGGTTGACTGCTTGATTTGAGGAATGTTTTCTAGACATCAAATTACGTGATCCTACAAACATGGAGTCGATTGATATGACAAACTATAATTACTAATAAAATAAGTATTTTTAGAATTAATAGAAAAAATGTATAATACAAACGAGTTATATTAATCAAATCCGTCGCTATTCATAAAACACTAGCTTCCTACAAAAAATTTATGATGATTGATGATATTTGATTATTAATATTAAATATAAAATTTACAAAAATATTATATATATAGTTTAGATTTTGTGCAATGCTATTAAGGTCTTGTTTGTTTCAGCTTATTTCATAAAGAAATTATTTATTTTTAAAAATTTATTTTATAAGTTTTTATGATGTTTGTTTAAATTTTTAAAAATAATTAGAATATAAAAAAAATATATTTTTACTTATTTTAAGAAGCTACTTTGAGTATCTTCTAAAAATAATCTAACATGATGAATAAGAGAAAGTACTTCAAAGAGATAGGATACGCAAAAAATTCATAAAATTTTAAAATAATATAATAATAAATTATTTTTATAAAATAAAAATTAAGAAAGATATCATAAAATTTTAAGTAACTAACTAATAATTACTTTTTAATTATTGTAATTAAATATAAAATAATGCCTTCTTTTTATAAATCTCTTTTGATAAAATCTCTAAATTATCTAAAATTCACTTATTTTTAATATTAAACAAACTAGCTCTAGGTTATATTTAATAATATGCATCTCAAACTTTTTTTGGCAATATTTTTCATTAAAGAAAAAATGTTACTAGGTTTTTAAAACTTGTTATAAGATTTTTTTAAAGAATATTTCCAAAAGAATAATAAAAGGGAAAACATAGGGTTTTGATTCATAAAGTAATAGTCAACACTGATCAAGATTCATGTAATTTTGTCACTAAGAAAATAGTACTTAATTAGAATTATGATTAACTTTGGTGGAGGCCCCTAGAGATAATATATTGCCGATGTGGTCACTGCGTGTTGCCAATGTGATAATATTTCACAATTCACAATAGTAAGTTGATCACAATTTTATGAACCAATTCTATACTAAAAAAAATATAAAATTCATGGCCAAATTAACTAGAACATCAGGGATTAAATATTATGTTTCCCAAAATAAAAATTTAAATACTTTTGATACTAACTTTCTTAATTGTTAAATTTGAGTTTTCATAACTTGTTTCTCGTAAAGGTTTATATCACCAAACGATGCAACGTCCTTATAAATGTACTGCTCCATGCCATTACTTTCTTCCCTTGTTATCTTTCACGCATACTTCCTCGTTTTCTCACAACTAGACTCCAGGCCACATTGCATGGAATTTAATTTAAAGCAAAAAATTACTCTTTGTAGCTTATAAATTTGAAGACACAACATAGCAGTGAATTATTTTCAATGCTCCAAATGGATAAAAGATTTTGGTGAGTGATTTCCCTTGAGGATGGATGGATAAATTGGCATTTTTCAGACCCAAAAGAAGTTTCTTATCCACGCAATCAATTATCTCTAAGCAAGGACATTTTGCTAATCCGGTTTGATCACCACAAGGAAAAATTGGCTTGTTTGACATTTTATTTTGAGAACAGTTTTGTATTCTCTAAAATAAAAAGAAAATATTTGATAATGTGTTTTTAAAAAATATTTTTTAAAAAATAAAATATTATTTTAGAGAATAGAAGAATGAAATTTTTTTTAAGTATTTTGAGATTATTATTCTAAAAAATAAAGGAGAATGCAAAAAAAAAAACATGTTTTTATTATTTTTTTCCTCATAACATATTTCACAAAATAATGGTTTTCAAAACAATAAAACAAAAACAATTATTGGCACATACTCAAAGAGAGTAGATCAAAAAAAGGAGGGAGAAGATAGAGAGAATTTCAGTTAACAACCACCACAAAGATTTAATTTTAAGTGACTCCAAAAAATTTTTAAAATTTTAATTTAGCTCAAAGGAGAAAAGTTAAAAAAATTTTAATAATAAAAATATCAAAATACTCTTTACTTGTTATATAAAATTATTAATTATTAATTTTTTGCCGCACTTGTTAATTTACTAATATCACTTATAAATTATATTCATTTGTAAAACAATCAGTAACATTAATTGCTAATTTATTAACTTTACTTGTTAATTTAGTAATTTATAACTGATTTTAGTCAATTAACAAATAAAGTTAGTCATTTAACAATTAATACTGTTAATTATGATTGAAAAACTAATATTAATTTCATATAATTATTTTCATGTCAACTCATGTAATTTACAACTTACATTCATAAATCAATAGGTAGAGTAAAAAAAATTAATAATTATAATTTTGCATAATAAATAAAGAGTATTGTGATTTTTCACTGTCAAAATTCTTTTAATTTTCCTCCTTTGGATTGAACAAAAATTTCAAAAAATTAGGACTCACTTAAAATTAATTATCTGATCCTTAACTGAAATTATCCCTAAAATATCCAAGAAGCTCAACATTAGAGTTATTTTCACAGGACAATCCATCGAATTGATTGGAAAGAATGATAAACACAATCAAATAATTCTCAGCTTCTCCCCAGCAACTAGCAAGCAAGAACTTGCTGCTCCTACATCTAATTCAGGCCACCCCTAAATAATTTAGGTTGAGCGGGTTAATGAAATGTGACTCGAGCATCAAAATCTTTTATTAAGCAATAGTCCCTTGAAAAGATTTAGTCTCAGATGATGACAGAACCTGCGGATCTCTCCCAAGTATTAAATTGTTATTAGAGTTTCGCTTCTAATCATCTCAACCACCTTCTAAGATCACCTGTTGAAGATGGAGAAATCTCCCCACCCAGACTCTCAGTGTAGCAAGAAGAATAGTTGGACTGCTGTTCCAGCCCAAAATGTGAAGCACTCACACTCTTGAAGCTTGGACTTCTCAAGTTATGTCCATAATTTCCATAACCCATTGCAACACCGCAAGGATCTGGAGCATTTAGGAATGAAAGCCTCTTCTTTGCTACTGATCCTGCTCTGTCCCTCTCCGGCGTCGATGGCCTCTGCCTAGGCGCGCTTTGAGACCGAACTCGAGCCTTTGCAGACTCAGTTGCCGCCATGTAATTAGGCAATGCACCCCCACCACTGATGCTTGTTCCAGCCCTTCCATTTTGGTACAGGCTTCCAGAATAATGGTAATTGGACCTCAAACTTGGGGTTTGAGACGTATGGTAGGTTCTATCTTCCCTGCCAACACGAGGGCTAGCAGACCGGACTTGGATAGGCCTTGATTTTACAGGAGATGGGGTTGCAGGGGATTGATGAAGAGAACTATTTTGGTGGCTCCTGTGGAGTGGGGAAGCCACTGAATGCCTTTGCGGTTGGTGTGGGTTATATTGATAATTTGGATGTGATCTTCTGTAGTTGGCTCCCAGAAATGAGAAAGGCTGAGAAGTGTCAATTTCTACAGTTTTAATGGTGTCTCTTTGATCAGTCGAAGCTCTTCCTCTGGTCTCCCATGGCTTTGAAGCCATCCACCGGTCCAGCCATTTCGGTCTCTCTTCCAGCTCATCTTCATTCCCAATCGACGAGTTCCAACCACTCCTCGAAAGCTGCGACATTGTTATCCAAAATGTAACCAATTATCAGCTCAGGAACGTCAGAAAATGAAAACGGGAAAAAAAATCACAGAAGGTTTTGAAAAGCAACGTAATCACGTAAACATGGCTTTAACTTCCTCAACTGTGTGCGGGCGTTCATCCCAGTCATCTGCAACACTGCTTCCTTCTCTTGACTGTCACCAAGAAAACCCAACTCAGACGGATTCTATTTACATCAATGAACAGTGCTGAAACTGTTGTTTGATTAACAAGTTGTGAAGAAACAGAAAAGTTACTTTTTAGTCCTTACTTTTTACCCATTTTATAATCGCCCATTCCAAAAGGAAATGCAAAGGCTCACTCTACTTCACTTACCATCGATCTCCTATCTGAAATGTCCAGAAGATACCGCGAGACGCTGTTGGTGTCACTGAATGTGGATTTTCTACTACTGGTCTCGTGCGAGAACCTCAAGCGCTGGTCAAGCACTCTGGCTTGTACTCGAACCAGAGCCTGCATGCACCGAAGGGTCATTTTTGCCTGCTTCCGAACATTATGACCCCTCACCAAAGCTTGCAATTTTACCAACCCCTTCAGCGCTCGAAGTGCCCTCCTTGCCTTCAAAGTGCAAGAAATCTGTAAGTTAACTTCTGTTTCTATTCTCCTCACAGTCAATTAATCAAACATATGGGGGATTTTATGTGTGAACTTAGATCTGGCAGATACACTTACAAGGTATCCTCTGAAAGCTGTTTGAATCGCCGTAGCAGCATGGTGCTCCCTAGCTTGATTCGAAGGCCCCCTCAGTCTAGCCGCTTCCACCGCCGCCTGGGCGGTGACCATGGCCGCTTCAGCCCTCGCCACCGCCACGGCAAGCGCATTGTTCTGATCTGTCACCGATGTCGTCGCCGTCGGCACAGGCACACGATCAGCAGTGGTCGCAGCAGCCGAATCGGGGTACTGCTTGGTTGGGGTCTGCTGGATACTCACCGCTGCCTCCTGATTCGCTGCTTTTCTGAAAATCCATCGTCGTTTTTCTCTCTTCTGCAAAAAGAATTCAGGTAATCAATGTTACTTGACAGGAACACAGACGGATGATGGGGAAAAAACGGGAAATCGAAGCGGAGTCGCAGCGAATTAGTTGCCTTGTCTTCGTCTTCTTCCTGGTTCCTTTTGTCAGTGTCTTTGGTTGGAGATCTAAATGCCCTTTTCACAGCGGTCAACCAGGAGGTACCTCCCTTCTTCCCCATCAAAAAGAAAATTGGTACAGTAAAACAGGGCTACATCACATTTACAGAGTGAGGAAAAAGCCAGAAACTGCGAAGTTAAAAAGACAGAGAAAGAGAGAAAGAGAAGGAAAAACAACAGGAGAAGAGTGCGGCGTAATATAACCGTGACGCGCAGATTCAGTGTGAGGGAGGGGATCATATAATTCAGGAGCAGTACGAAAGCAAGGGAGGGAATGCTACAGTAAGCTTATCCTCAGGGCTCTATGATGGAATCCCACTCAACGAGTTATGCGGTCAATATCAAAACTCTAGCATCAAATTCAAGAAACTCTTGGTTTCATGCAAGTAACTGCGGTGCGTGTCGGATGAAGAAAAGAGGTTAAAGAAGATGACGTTTTGGATAGTAATGAAGAAAGATGGCCTTTGGGACATGGGTTAAATGGCGTGGCAGTATTAAAATATAATAATGAAAGCGTTATTGAAAGAGGAGGGTGGCAGCAGAAGCAGATTTGAGGATTTGAAAATGAGAAAGAGGACTAAATGGGAATATTATAAAAGTGGGGAAAGCTTCGAAGAGGGCGATGACAGAGGCTTTTATGAATATAATAAGGCGTTAATAACAGATGTGAGTGGGATAGGTGTGCCGTGTGGCGTGGGGCATATCGAGCATCGAGGAGATTCAGACCCTATGGACACGGTGCCCGCTCGGTTTTTGTTAATAGCCAATATTAATGTACAATTCACAAAGGGCATGAATTATTATTATTATTATTATTGTTATTGATGTTGTTGTTGCTGTTGTAAATAAATATTGTGAGGAACTAATATTTAAATTTAGATGAGTATTTACATGCAGTATCTTGTTGTATTTTGAACATAATTCTCTCTAATTACAAACTATATGTGAGCAATTAAAAAAATTGAGACAATTGAGATGTCCAAATGTAAATAAGCTTTAGATAGGGAATTTAACATTGAATATAATTAATTTTAACAAGTAATATATATAGGGATGATGTATTAATATGTTTAAATGTAAACAAGCTTTAGATAGGCATTTATTTTAATAATTTATTACTTTTACATTAATATGCATTTATTATTATTATTTTCATTCAAATTAATTCAAACCCTAATTACTTGAGACTATTATTATTGACAAAAGCCTTTTAAGAATGTTTTTGATATATTTATATTAATTCAAGGCCGTGCTGGTGCATACAATGTTGTTGAGAAAAACTAGTACAGTTGGACCCAATAATAGTACCCATTTATTTTCAAACGATTTTCTTGACGCGAAACAAGGGTGATGGTGTTTGATTTGGATTTGGATTTGGATTTGGAGAAGGAAGAAGTCTGATGGAGTCACATGGCAGGAGCAGGTCCCCCACCCAATGAGGTGCCTCGTCTCTCACTCTGCTTCAACTGCTCTGCCACTGTACGCTCTCGAAGACCGGTCAAACTGTCCTAGATTCTCCTGCTTCTCCTTCCTCATTCTCAATTCTTTTTTCTTTTTTCTTTTTTCTCATGCTAAAATCTTGCATTATATGGCTTCACTGTCCCCCACTGACTTAACTTTAGTAGGCCTTCTCAAAGTAATGTGGAGCAATGTTAACCCAGTAACAATCCCATTAGAGCCCAACTGATTGCATTCTTTCGCAAACAAAAGTATCCCACCAGCCTGTCCCTCTTTTTCTTCAATTCTTTCTGCGTGCTACTTAGGAATCAATGAGCACGTTCATTGCTGTATCCTCCGGAAACTATTCAGTATTTACCATCAAGTAGATGATGATGCCCTTTCTTGTTTTCTCTTTTCACGTCATTCAACGTGCTCACAGTTTATGTTGCCCTTCATTTCTTTCTCCTTGGCCTTGCCTTTTGGTTTATATGTTAGATGTTTTATTTTATAAATATATATATATATTATTTATAAAAATTGTTTTAAATCTAATATCCCAGTTTAAGATATCATTGAGTTATGAGATATCATTAAAGAAAATAAAATATCCCAAGTTTGGTCCTGGTCAGCTAATTGTATCCAAGTTTAGGGATTTTCTCAATCTAAAATAAATAATAAAATAGCCCTGATTGTGTGTTATAAATAGATGCCCATAGACCAATATTGTACGGTAAAGTGTTATACTCTATGAGGGTTTTCTAACTAGTGATGGCTCTTTTTCAGTCGTCATTACTATGTTGCATGCTAGTCATGAGAATCCCTCTCATCTCATTTAGCAATCTTAAATTATCAGCTGTCCTCTGGTTATGAGAACTATATATAAAATAGCATGAACACAATCATCTTTCACCCCCTTTCAGTGTTTTTAGTCTCTATAAGAATAGAAAACACTAAAAAAAATTATAGAAATTAAAAGTAAAACCTAATAAAACTATAAGGATCAAAGATTATGTTTTCTCTTATTATTTTTTTTAAACTCATTTTGATTTTTCAATTTGTTAAATTCAAAAGGCGTGTCACCAGAACGTGCCTTGGGAATTCAAATTCTCGATTATTGAATTTCTATAAATGTGTTAACGCTGTTATATTTGGCAAGTAATCCTATCATTTGATTCTTCTACCTAAAGATCACCGGAAAACATGTTCTTTTTAGGTGTTGAAAAAAAAAGTTCGCTCTTGATTTATTAACTAGTATAAGCCCATCTGTGGATGTTGTTCCTTAAAAAGCCCATTTCCATTTTGAGACCTTAATTTGCAAAGCCTAGTCCTAGAGCTCACAAACCCAAGGCTAGCCTTAAGGGCTTTGAGATCTTTTTTTTATTTTTTTTTTATTTTTTTAGATTAAATATATGAAAATAAAATAAATTAGATAAAAAATATAAAATATTGATCCATTAAAATACAAAATCATGGTTCAAATTCCTCAAACCAGATAAATTCAATCTAAACAAGTCTTCTCTAAATATTAATAAAACAACAATGCTGTAATGTTAGACCCATTATTATCATGATCATTATCATCTTTAATATCAATAACATTTGGTTGCACGTCACTAGTTCATTATTTTCAATGACAAACATATAAAGATTTTTTTTTTTGAATTTAGGCTAGGATTTTTTTCTTAGATATTTGTTTCATATTTGATTCCTCTCCCTACTTGTCTATTCAATATTAATAATGTTTTATATATAAAAATATAAATGAGCTTAAATAAGCCTAACTTTGAGGGCCAACTCATTGTTTTTGGAGCATATTATGGTCAGTGTGTTTAAGTCCAGTTAAACATTCACAGTACTAAAGTGCAAGCCCAGCCCTTCACTCAAATGGGCTCTGCTCGTTTTAGTGGCTCTATTCTGAACCTCTGTATTCTTTTGATCCATAAATGACCCATTGGATATATCCAGCTCCAATATAACTGGGCTATGAAGAAATTTAAACCCACACCAGTTATGATATTTGGGCCTTAGAATTATATATCGATGAGCGCTGTTCAAAATAAGTAGCAAAAGTAATTATAATTTTAATTAAAGCATTACAGGTCCCATGATTTGGTCATTTGGATACAGATTTTTTTTTTTAAAAAAAGTGAATAGAATTGTGAAATACGCCGATACGGTTTTACCGAAAAAAAAAAAACAAGAATTGTGAGATACGGCCTCTATATGCACTATACACTTGTGCTTCTAACGTTACCCTCTTTCTAGTCATATCGATGTATGAATTGAGAGGATTTAATAGAAAATAAAATATGTAAAAAGACAGTCCTCTTGTTTTAAAGGCTGAGTTGGACTATGTTTCGATCCATTAAATTATACAATAACTTTTAAAATACATTAAATTGCCATTTTATTTTACACAAAAATTTTGAGCATAAATAAAAGCTACATGTTAATATATCAAAATAAATTAGGAGACTGCTTTCTTACTCCAAGAATCTTCAAGTCTAGAATAGCATTGAATCGGCGTGAAAACTTATCCAAATGAAGATTACGTTCATTAAATGGCGTCTTGTAGTTAATTTTTATATCAGAATTTCACATCATTATTTTCTTCCAGAATCTAGGATATGTCTTTCATCTAAATTTCCTGTATGATTTTATATAACTCATGTAATTCTAAACAGTAAAACGTAATGTATGGATGCTGTGTCCAACGTCACTGTTATTATTGGCAAATGCATTTCAAATACATATATGAGAGTGTGCTAGTTTTAATTTCTCAAACGATATATATATATATATATATATATGTATGTAGTATGTATATATATATATGTATGTATGTATGTATATATATATATATGTATGTATGTATGTATACATATATCTCCAAATTAGATAATGAAATGATGATATCACGATGATATCAGTGACCTCGTATTATTGATGAAAGCTCATGCAAATCACATGCGCATCAATCCACCTGAACAAAATTCAGACAAAAACTTTTAACCAAAAGTAAGGGCGAGCTAAATATCATTTAAAAGAAATTAAAAGTGATCATATTGCTTTCTTACTCCAACAATCTTCAAGCCTAGCTAAACATCGAATTGGGACAAAAACTTTCAATTATATATATTTTGCTTCTCACACCAAATTTAATAAGAGCTATATTTTTCAAATAATAATTAATTATCAGGCTAGGTTATAATAAAATCAACGTTGAATATAATTTGAGTGTAAACTTCTAATGGCATTGGCACCAAATTTTGTAGGAGTCTTTTCCTTTTAATCAATCAAAGCCAAGTGAATAATCAGTCTTACCTAATATTGACATTGAATTGGACTGTAAACTTTTAATTCCACTCAGACCAAGTTTTACTAGAGCCTTTTACTTTAATCAATTTACGTCAGATTGATCAATATCATTATCTTATACTGTTAATATTGAATTGGGGCGAACTCATCAACGTCGTCAGAACAATAATAACATTACGACCTTAATTACCCTATATATATTAACATTGAATTGGGGGTGGACACATGTATTTTCTGGTCCCCTATATATACCAAATTTAGCAAAAAGAGCTATTTTTAATATCCATTAAAGTCAAATCAATAACAATCTTACTTACAGATCCAGATTCAGCAAGTGTCTGATGTGGCATTATAAAGATCATTGATTCAATCGAATGACTACCGAAGATACAAGCACATGATACATGGAGAACAACAAATCACATGATTCTATCTTTTTTTGTGTCTTATACCTTAATGCAACCATAGTTTGTATGGGCGTGTTTGGATAATTTTTTTAGAATTAATTATAAAGATGGAAAAAAAAATAAAAAATACTCAAGTCTTAAAAATTGATTCTCAAATTATAAAAAAATAGCTTATGCCAAATAGAGTTTTAGAAGGTAAATGAAGTTTGAAAAAATTAGAAATAATTGGATAAGATTTTTCAAAACCATGGTTTTGATTGAACTCAAAACTGATTTTGGATGTGCATCCAAATAGGCCCTATAACTGCAAAGAAATAATTGAAATGCATTCTTATGGACCTATCCGTGGACTCAATGTTTTATTTATTTCGGGTCACTCATGAATTTTCTTTCAA